TGCCGCGTCACGCAAAAGTTTAGAAATTTAAGCGTAGTGTATCACAAAACCAAGAACCCATTCGGAGCGAAAATTTGTATGAATATTAGTTTTCAACAGCTCTTATACATCATTTAAGTAAAATCTCAGGAAGATCAATAGTTTTGTAGTTCGAATTTTAGTGACGTCATGTGAAAACCAGCTATTCCGGGCATTTGACCATTTTGGGGTCTTGTTTTTTTAAGGGCCTGTCCTCTTATTGATGATAAATTTCGTCGTAACATTGTCAAAGTTTACTGCGGAACCACTCGCCTGCGGCCCGTGGTTCCACAGCCACTTTGAAAATGTTATGATGCAATTTATCATCAATAAGAGGACAGACGCATAAAAAAACTAACGTCAATTTGCTAAATAGAAGTCGTAGAAATAAAGCTGCGTTCTCAAATTACAGTAATTTCTCTGGCGTAGAGTGGACGGGGCCTAAATCCTTCATCTTTGGGGAGCTAGTAGTCTCCTCCGCAGCCGTTTTTTGGCATGTCACGCAACGCTCTTTGGGGGGAGCGTTGCGTGACATCCCAAAAAACGGCTGCGGAGGAGACTAGGGAGCTAGCGGTGGGTGCAAATTTCAACATAATAAAGGAGAGATTACTGCAAGCCTTATGGTACAAAAATTTATAGACAAGTAGCGACACGATATTTTAATATCGTGTCGCTCTGTGTCAATAACGTTTTCTTTCACTGCGAACCTAAACCTCTGGGATGAATTGTGGCGTTTCGTGATTATTCTATTTTTAGTGTATTATGATTGGAAGTTATTTTTGGTATGTGTCGGTTTATTAACTCATGACACATCCAATGCTTTCTGAGAAACCTGCAAACATTTCCTAGAATTCTCAGGAGCGATCTGATTGGCCTATCAAATTAAAAATAGTCAATTGCATCGTTAATAGGCCCAGGCACGTCATCAAAACAAATTTTCCACCCGCTGGTTCTTCCGTGTTGCTTTCACTTTGAAAGTAAGTTCGAAATGGCGACGAATCTAAGAGAAAGCTACGAACTTCTCGGCCTTCCAACTAACGCTACTGAAGAGGAAGTGAGAAAAGCGTACAAACAGAAGGCGCGCGAATGTCATCCCGACAAGAATCCTGATGATCCACGAGCGACGGAGAAATTTCAAGCGCTCAGACAGGGATACGAGAGAATTGTGTCGAGCGAAGAAACCGATGAGGATGTGGAATATTTCAGTGGATTTGATAACTTCTTTCATTTTGTAATGTTGCGGGAGATGATGAGGAGGAGGATGAGAGAAGAAATGATGGCCAGAATGTTTCAAGGTTTATTTGCGGACGACAGTGACCTTGACGAAGGCGATGACTTCCTGTTTGGAAGGCCTTTCTTTCACCAGCGTTCAAGGCATCAAGGATCTTCTACCAGGTCACATAATTTTCGGTTTCGAGATCAGGGAGATACTCAGAATGGAAGATCGTCATATGAATGTGGGTCTTCAGCAAAACCACCAAAGAAACAGAAAGGTCGGAAGAAAAACTTTCGAAACAGTGACGGGGCAAAACAAGCACAAAGACCGAGATCCAGTAAACAGGAAACCACGTTTGATTCAGATCGAGATGTAACTACAAATTACAAATATGGCTGGGACGATTTTAACGGAGAAAGAGAAACATGCGGTGAAGAGAGAGCAAAACCAAATATGTTTTCCAAGTCAAAGCAAAGAAACAAGAACAAAAGCCAAATGACAGCATCCGAGTGGCAAAAAGGACGAAAAACCAAGAAACATCACAAGAAGAAGCAAACTGCGAAATCCTCCAACTCGCCTCAAGCTTCTGAAGAAAAATCAGACTGGGATAACAGAAGTAAAGCACCCAGAAACAGCAATGGACGACAGGACGAGGAGGAGCATTGTTGTAGTTCAGCCCCATCTTCTCCAAACAGTAAATGCTGGGAAGTTGGAGACGCAAAGAATGCCGCTGAAGGTAAAAGCCAGCTCAACTCAGGCCAGTTTGGTAATGAAATGAATGCAATGGAATATGATGAGAAGATTAAAGATACATGTACTAGCGAAAGAGGAAATCCTGGTGATAGTAGCAGCGAGACGATCCCAGAAAGCCTGAAATGTGAAAAGGATGGAGCCAGGGGAGATACTGTTGATAAAGAGGAAGAGCTTAGAAGTAATCTAAACACGGAGAAACAAGACTAAACAGAAGGACAGAAAATTTCCTGATGACAACAAACTTGATCCGTATTACGCGTTGCTGGTCTCTGTTTCTGTTTTACTGATATCTCTTGATTGTCTTACATACAGTTTATATGCTAAAACAAGCATTTTTTAAATGTTGTTCCCCCGAAAAAAAAAGTTTCTTATTACACCCCTACTTCCCCATACCGACCACCTCTCTACAACAGCCACTTTCCACTGTCCCCAAGGTGGCCGTTATGAAGAGGTTCGACTACATTTTATTGTGTTACATCAGGCAATTCAAAGGGTTTCAAACATGTCGATCACGCGTATAGAAGGTACATCACGCGCACAACAGTTTTCTATCAGCAGAAACAAAACGGAAATAGGGCCAATCAACTTCACGGATTCAAAACAGACTACGATAAATTTACACTAGGTGGTGATAGTTGATGAGGAAGAAGGCCGAATCAACTCATCCGCTCGCTCTGTCCCTTTAAAACGGCGGGATTCGTGACCAGTCTATTGCAAAGTCAGCGCGGTAACCATTAGCTGGTGAACAGTTATATATTCCTGTTAGGTGTTTAATTAGGTTGCTTTGTATTAGTTCCCATTGGGATAATCAGACCAATATATACCACTCCTTGTGAATATGACACAACTTAACCGCCGACCAGTTAACTCGAGGCTGGGTTTTCCTTATTGTAAATTAGCGTGTAACATTTTCTTTTATTCTCTAGCTTGAAACCCGTATTCAACATGCCTCAGATTCTTGATAATAAACTCGATTACTGCTGGCGGCTCCCTCCACTATTTTTTGCATTATTTGCCTCCTTTACTTACAATAGAAATGTTTTCTATTCGGCTGAGCGAAGCGAAAGAGAATAGAATGATATATTAACTCAATTAGCGTGACAGCGTAACATGGCGTGACACAGCACCTACTGTCTCCAATTTCAAGGCGGACACAACACAAGTGCAACTGTCTGGTGTTTCGTAAATCGAGGAACATAAATTTATTATTTTTTCACTATCCGCATCAGAAACCAACTTAAAAGTCAGTCTTGAAATAATAAAAAAATACAGGTCGAATGCAAAAGCAAAATTATGTAAACAAACGTCGTCGACAGCTTGAAAAGCAAGCACGAGAATTCGCCGAGTACAAAACTAACTTCATTACATGTTATCGAGCCAGATATTTGAATCATTCAAGAACTTGAAATATACATGATTAACACGTCTTTGGAAAGATATTTGATAATCAGTATTTTAACTTTAATACTTTTGAAAGGAAAGAGTTCATTCTTTTTTAACAATAAATTTTCTATAATAAATTATAAACCTCTTAAATCGCTTTGCACATCTCAAAATACAACTTAAAAAATAAATTCGCACTTTAACTTGTTTTCATTACTGTCGAAATAAAGCTGGATAAGTTTTCAATCTTTGTACATTCAAGTAAATAAAATTTTGAAATCGATGTAGCTTTACCCCATACTTAGTTCTGGGAAAAAAAATTATGCACCTTTATGCGCCCTTGGCGCTTCTCAATGGCTATATCTCCAAATATCATAATTTTCTATTAACAATTTACACGAATTTAAGCTACTTGTTGATATATTTCATAAAGAACAGACCAATTTCGATGTATTAAAATTCAGCCTAACACAATAGACCTCAGCACGAGGCTCTGGGGAATAAACCCCACAAACTCTGTAGTAATTCCCCAGAGCCTCGTGCTGAGGTCTATTGCTTTAGGCTGAATTTTAATATATCGAAATTAGTCTATTCTGTGACTCTAACAGAGTATTTATGTCACACCACGTGACAATAGGTCATTTCCATGTTACCTGTTTTAAAATGACATCTGATTAGAAACGTTCAACATGAAATGACCTTCATTCGCGCATGAAGAAATCTTGAAAATTTGAAACAGGGTCTAATGGGTAACTTAGAAATTGTCCACTTGGTAACCAAAATAATCTCAACTTATAAACAGTCCTCGCGGGCAGGAAGAACAAAATTTAAACTGGAAAGGAGAGTTAACACGTGGTCTCTACTCGCCCGAAAAGGCCAATGGGAAAGTATTTGATATGAGTGGGCCACTGTGACGATAATGAGAAGAACTTGACTCCGCTCCATGTCACGCCATCAATAACAACTGAAAGTGACAAGAAAAGAAAACATGAGTACATGTAAAATCTACTCAACACTTGCTTGGGATAATCCCTTGTTACAAAACACTCTGAAGATTGTAGCTGATTAACTAGGGATTTATGATAAGTCACTGAGTGATGAGCACATGTACTATTCACTAACCATTAAGTGTACTGCTTTGCCCTTTAGTAGTACAAATCAGCTTTGACACCACCATGGCCTGGTTTCTAGACTCCGTGTCTTTCTCTTTGGATTTCTTCATGGACCGCATCATCGCCTCAAGTCCTGTGCAAACAATAAACATAGATCTATAAACCACGATTGACCGTCGAAGTTGGGTTTTGCATCATTCATTTTATCTGAGTAAGAGTGGAAGTCCTAGTTCGAAATACAGCGATGTTTTTCGTGACGTCACGAGTTCTGTCATGATCACCGTAGTTTGCAAAAAGCAAAGAATAAGACTGAGAATTATAAATGCCAGTGTTCTTTAATCAACGCTCCCTTCGTGCTACAACTTGGCCACATCACTAATTTTGAGGTGCTCTTTTCATTCGCATCGATTACTTTTCGATAAAGTAAAAATAAAAAGTCAAACGACTGTATCGTAGATTCAGTGACTACAACTTCCCGGCAGCTGTGAACAATGATAACAGATTTTCGACGGAAAGCGTTATTTAGACCTCTCGAGAGTAGTCTGTTTCTTTGCAAATGCCACGCGATCCCTTGAGTCATTTTGGTTGTCTGGCTGACGAATTACCGGAGCTTGAGCTTACTATAAAATGGCCGACTTCGAAAATTTATGGCCAGATTGAAACTCGGAAAATGTTACAGAAGTTCGTCGGAAAGACTTGTTCAAATGTCCTGAGAGTACTTTGAACGATTCCGAATACTGTTTGGGCTTCGATGTGAACGAATCATCTCGGTTTGGCCACACTAACAGAACACTCAGCATGATCTACTGTACCCTGACAGGTGAAGCTATGATCTCAACTGACTAAATTCCAGACAGTGAGAAATTGCTTCAGAATTTCAACGATAACCAACCTCAATCCGTTAAGACGTTTTTCATGCTTAAAGATTTCAAGGACTATTTTAGTTCTGGGTTTACAAATTTTTCGTCCAGGTTTAAGCATGCCACGACATTTCTTCGTGAAAATCGCGATTTTTATAGTATGCTTAGTCCCTCTATCTCGCTGGAGGCTTAAGCTCTCCGGGAAATTCGCCGACTAGAAAAGCAAACTGATTTTTGGAATCGGTTAGCATTTTCAGAGAAGTATAAAATACTGTCAAAAGGTTTGAAAAAGACTTTTGGTGGAAAATCTGTGAAACTTTTAGACTGCGGGGGCATTGAAGTTATGTTAACTTTAAGGTGAGAAGATTAGTGCTGCTTCTTAGAACTGTTTTCAATTGATTCGAGGCAATTTGCTCTTAATTTCACCGCGCAGTTTTAACCTTCCTTATAAGCTTCTTGTAAAAAAATATTGAACCCTTGGACTGTAAGTCATTTAGAAACGGATCTCTCACAACCCTTGTGCAAGCAAGGTCAAATTAAGAGTTCAAAAAAGGAAATTCAAAGAAGAAATAAGGAGCCCACACCTCTTTTATTGCGTTCTTTGGTCACAGCCGTCACTGACAGCGCAGACGGTTCCTCTGGAGTTGGGAGTCTGGTGACTACCAGGGTCTTAAAAGTTGTTTTTAATGACGACTGAAAGTCAAGAAAAATGATTTAGATAAAGCTACTAACTATGAACGTGTACGACGTATGAGGAGATATGAATCTTGAGCTTTTTTCATAATTGCCTGAAGACTCTGTACCTTATTGATATCTCTTTTGTTTCCACCTACAAGCCAGTAGTCGACTTGAAGATCCATCTGCTCGCTCGACCATAGGCTTCCTCCGCTATCATGGGGACTAGGAATAACAAGCTTTAACAATAAATACTTAGAATTCTTAGCGAGTGAGCAAATACAGGAATGAAATACACAACAAGGTGGGAGAACCCTACTTAATCCTAAACCGGCTAACTTGAAGACAGAAGTTCCTATTACGTTTCCAAACCGAAATATCATTTCGTCATGAGAGAAACGTCACCTTAGTACGCAGCAACCCTTCTTCAAAACACAGGCCCAATCAACTCAAGGAAATATCACTGTATGAACCTAACCATAACCTAAATCTTATTTTTGGCAGTGATGAGCTCTCCTCTACCATCTCAATAGTTTTTTGCGGGTTTCTATGTACAGAATGCAATCAACACTGCAGAGGCAAAAAGGGGCAAGAACAGAGAGACTTCTCGTTATACATATATAAGCAAGAACGTGACGGATTTTAAGTTTTATTAATGCGAATGAATACGTATATGGTTATCTTTATTACTGTACACATTTCTGAATTTCTCAAACTTTTAGCTAGATACACGACCCACAAGCAAATCTGTTGCTTTAAACCAAATCGTGCTGGTTTAAATAGAACATTGTTGTTGTTGTCAGCTGTATCTGTGATCACGGTGGGTACTTGAGGTCTGATTGCACTAATAAACCAGCAACAGAAATTTCCACCAGCAAATGAGCAGGAATTACGTCCTGCTTGTTTAAAGTAAAAACCTTGCGCACCTTGTCAAAGGAGAGCCTGAAGATGGGGGCGTTTGTGAAGTTCCTAGAGAAGGCGGGTGAGTTTCACTCCTAAGAACGGTCCCTGTGCTTTTAGACCCAACATTGGTTGGAGTGCCACTAGTTGCTACAGGTTCTTCGTCTGTTTGAACGCAAAGAAAAACGAAAAGTTCAATAAACGCTAAATAATTAAGTACATAAAATGAAGTAAAATGGTGTATCATACGTGACACATACTAATGAATCATTAAATAATAACATAATAATAATAATGATAACAATGATAATATTGATAATAATAATGATCATAATGATAATAATAATGATAATACTGATAATAATGATAATGACTATGATAATGATAATAGTAATAATGATAATGATAATAACAATGATAATAACGATAATAATAATGATAATGATAATGATAATAATAATAATAGATTTATATAGCGCTAAAATTATAAAACATTCTAAAGCGCTTTAGAATGTAAGATTAAGATTATAGTAAAAATATCAATGAGCTTAATAAAAAAAATGAAATGAACTGAGTTGCATCACCTTGGAATTGGTCTGTTGAACCAATCCTGACATCCTGCAATGAATACAAACATGCAACATGATCAATTAGCAGTAAAACCCGCGTAACTTCGATTTCCGATTCATATGGCCCCAAGATCCTCCCAGACAACTGGCCAGAGTCTCAGAAGTCGTAAAACATTCTTATGAAACCAACAACAACAACAACAGCTTTATTTATCCCTTTTTTATAGATTAAATTACATAGTAGTATAGTAATTAAATTAAAATAAGGGTAACTGACAACCTGAAATAACCTGAAATAGTTAAGATGCAGCGGCGGAAGAGAGAGAACAGACAGATGGAGAGGAGAGGGAGGAAAATGGAATAGAAGCAAGCTTGATGAAAGAAGCTGAGAAAAAAACAAGCTCTGGACAAAGCCAGGTCAAGGTAACCTGGCCAGGAACTACGCAGGAATGAGGCACGCTCAAACAAATACTTTTAAAACCCGGGCCAAGAGCGTCAGAATCCAAAACCGTAAAAACCTTGTAAAGAGTAAACACACTTTAACGATTACAGATAATCAGTGAAATATAATCGCAAACTTCAACATATGTTTAAGTAGAAAGAATAACACCCCGAATTTTGAACAGCCAATATTTTAAATATTGTAAAACTAAAATATTACTTACGCAAACAAATGGTAAGAAGACTTGTGAGGATCCTTCTTCAGATCTATAAACATAAAGACAATGCACTCACTACTATCAAGTGTACGTATCACCACCGGAAATGAATCAAGGAAGTCACGGAGCACAAAACTTTCGTTTGAAACTGCTGGTTTGAAACTGGACGGAAGCTGCTGCTTCAGTTAGAGACACATTAACTCCCTTGGGTCAGACGAAAGTCAGACTATATAAATAAAGTAGTAGCAGTAGCAGTAGCAGTGGCAGCGGCAGCGGCAGTGGCAGTAGCAGTAGCAGCAGCAGTAGTAGTAGTAGTAGCAGTAGCAGTAGCAGTAGCAGCAGTAGTAGTAGCAGTAGCAGTGGCAGTGGCAGTAGCAGTAGCAGTAGCAGCAGTAGCAGTAGTAGTAGCAGTAGCAGTAGCAGTAGCAGCAGTAGTAGCAGTAGCAGTAGCAGCAGTAGTAGCAGTAGCAGTAGCAGTAGCAGTAG